CTCTTTGGGAGCAGATTCCCTCTGCTGCGAGCTGTGGGCCAAGAGGAGGCGAGTGGAAAGCTGGGGCTGTGCAGCTCCCCGTCGCCCGCCGCGCTCTGCTTTTTGCCAGGCGCCTTTGCCTAGTTTTTTATTTTGCTTTTTTGCCGTCTGTTGTCTCTAGTCGTCCGGCGCCCCGTGTGACAATGACCCGCTTGGGCCCCTTCCTCCTGGCTGGGGTAAGTACAGAGCCCGTCCCGCGTTGCCGGCGTCCCACGCGCGTTCCTGGGTGCCACAGCGGGGACGCCGTCCCCGGGGCCCTGCCGCCTGCGGGGCCACATCTGCCCCGGTCGGTGCTTCCTCTTGCTTTAAATCCAGCTTTTTCCCCACCCTTTCTCCTTTTCCCCCTTTTTCTGGAGGGGTTCCCGGGCTCGCTCGCAGCTCCGGAGCACAGGGGGGTTTGTGGTTGTTCACTGGGCTGGGGTGCAGGCCACGCATCCTGCGGCCTCGCCCCGGCGCCGGGCGAGGCCGTCCTGCTGCCCGGAGCCCTCGTGCTGCGCTCTCCGCCGGGCTCTGCCGTCGTGTCCCGGTGGGGCCTCGGCATCGCGGAGCTCCGGGGAGCAGCCCTGGACAGGCAGATATCCAGCGGGGCCCAGGGGAGCCAGGAGGGAGCCAAGGGGCACCGGGCCCAGGAAAAAGGTCCCTGTGCTGGCCCTGGAGCGGAGCATCCCTGGAGAGGGAGGCACCGGGTGGAGCTGATGCTTGTGGCCTCCCATCCCGCTTCCCGGGAAGTGGCTGTGCTGGAGACCTGCCTGGCTCTGCCGGGCACCTTCTCCTGCTCCGGAGCAGCAGCCGGGGGTGGCAGGGGCCGAGGGCTTGCGCAGGGTTGCTCAAGGCATCGCTTGCAAGCAGGGAGAGAGCAGGGAGGGAGCGCGGATGGGAGCAGGGACCAGGGCAGCATTGGCACCTCGGTGTCCCACAGCTCTGCCACACGCTGGCAGTGCCCCATGTGCAGGGCTGACAGGGAAGGGGCCCCCGTGCCCCATCCCCGTGGGGCTGGTGGTGGCTGCGCGGCAGCCCCGGCGCTCGCTCAGGCCCTCCCACGGGGCTGCTCGTGGCAGCCCGGCGGCTCCGGGATAGGGAACGCGCATGCGGGGCGTCCCTGCCGCCGTGGAGCAGGGCCGTGCGC